AATGTTTTTTTTTTTTTGGGGGGAAATTTTTAAATTAACCAAAAAAAAAAATTTTAAAAACCCCTTTTCCCCATTTGGTTTTTTTTTTTTTTTTTTTTTTTTATAAAGATGACCGGTAAGGGGATCTTAACCCTTGACTTGGTGTTGTCAGCACCACGCCCAGCCAGTGAGCGAACCGGCCATCCCTATACGGGATCCGAACCCGGGGCCTTGGTGTTATCAGCACCGCACTCTCCCGAGTGAGCCACTGGGCCGGCCTCACATTTGGTTTTTAACTCCATTGTCTTGCTAGGGACTCAGAAACCCGATTGTGGGGTTAAAGGTAGAGCTTTGATCCTTTGGTATTGCTCTTGTGACAGCTAATCCTCTCTTACATATTTAGATAGAATTGGGGGGCAGTCTCATTTGTGGAAGTGTAAAAGAGAATAGGATATTAATTTCAAAAAAATATTATCTCTCTAGTTACTTGAAATTCTTACCACAAGAATCCTGGGAAAGAGGATTGCTGTTTCTTTTGCATAAATGAATTAACGAAGATTCAAGAAAGTAGCTTTCCCAAGATCACTTAAATGTGAATAGCTGAACTGGGGTTTAAACCCAGGTCTGTCTGATTCTGAACACCATGCCTTATTCTCTACATATATGGTCTCACACTGATAGATGTATAAACATATTGCCCTTTATTATTAAACTATTTGTTCATATAGCTATGGTAGCGTTTTTTCTAACCAACTGTACTTTTTATACAGGATAATTACTTGAATATAAAGTCTTTATTTTAAGTATTTTTTGAGAATTCTTGAAAGTTACTGAAAGATCAAGAGTATAATATAATTTGTTCTTATTATAGAGTGATGACTTTAGCAGACCAAAATATTTCTTCAAAACCAAAGTGTACTTCAAATTCAGGATCAGGTAATAGTGAAATTAATTATTTTCATGATTCTGTATTTCTTTATTTTGCTACAATGTAGCATGTATTAACAAAACTGGCAGCCCAGGATACTGAGTACTTTTTAGCTTAGTTGTATGTTTAAAATGAAGATATGTGAAGTTTTTAGAAATTGGGTCTTAACTATCCCCACAGCACCCATCATTTATTCATTTAATAAAAATTTACTAGGGCTGGCCTGTGACTCACTTGGGAGAGTGTGGTGCTGAATAAATAACACCAAGGCCATAGGTTCGGCTCCCTATATAGGGATAGCTGGTTAGCTCACTTGAGAGAGTGTGGTGCTGACAACACCAAGTCAGGGGTTATGATCCCCTTACCAGTCATCTTAAAAAAAAAAAAAATTTACTGAATATGTACTGTGTACTTGGCATTGTTATATATACGGATGGGCAGTGATACACTTTTCCTGCCCTTGTAAGTTTCAATTATAGGAGAGGAAGATAAGTAAACAGATACATTGTGGTGTTGTATGATGACTGAAAAATAAAGGGATCAACAAAGTATCTTGCATTATTGGCACTCTCATTTAGTTAATTATTAGAACAAACTTAGTAAGACATTTATATCCTTATTAACCTCTGCTGTATGTTAGATATCTATTTTCTTTTTTCCCTGCAACAAGTTTTATAGCATCTATTTGTGAGTAAACTTTTTTTTTTTTTTTTTTTTTTTTTAAAGATGACCGGTGAGGGGATCTTAACCCTTGACTTGGTGTTGTCAGCACCATGCTCACCCAGTGAGCAAACCGGCCATCCCTATACGGGATCTGAACCCGTGGCCTTGGTGCTAACAGCACCGCACTCTCCCGAGTGAGCCACAGGCTGGCCCCTATTTGTGAGTAAACTTGAAGAATTGCTTGCTTTATTCGTGATGGTTGTAATGTTTATGTGAACTAAGAATATATATATTTATTTGTATAATCTTTAAGAAGTTGTCTTAATGAGCACTTTCTAAGTGTCAGGCTTTATGTTAGAAACTGTGGGTATAAAAATGATTAAGATAATTTCTGTTCTAAGCAAAATTAGTCTAGTGATGAAAACTAAACATGTGAAAACACAGATCCTTGGACTCTGGATGGTGAACATTAGGAGGAGGATTTGTTTTATAGATAAAAGAGTAAGGGAATGTGCGAATGATAAAAGAGAGGTAATGAAAAGGAAAGTGGTAAGCGTACCAGAAACAACCATGATTTTACCTAGATCTTGCCCCGCCAAGTTTTGCTTTGTCTGTGGAAAATATTATAAAGCTTGGTGGTAGGGCAGAATGGTGATTGTAGAATTATGTATGCTTTCATATTCTTACTTTCATGTGTTAACTTACAGTTTAAAATGAAATAAATCACATCTTGCGCTAGAGGTATTTACATATTCCTTAATTCAACAGTGTTCCAGTTATGTGCCAGGCTCTTCATTAAGTGTTAAGAAATTGAGAAGTGGTTGCATTCCTGCCCTCAAGGATCCTATAGTTTAATAATGAACAAATAAACAAGAAATTACTTCTCAGGCAACTTCTTCTGCTCAGGCTCCTTTGCAATCTTATCTACAGCTAGTAGTCTTTAAATGTGGGAGTTCTTCAAGGCTAGTTCCTTGATTCTAATCTCTTTTTAATCTACTATGTGACATGTATGATGTCTTGTAATAGGCAGGGTTTCCAGATTTTCTGTCAGCCTGGACTCTTCTCTGAGGGTAAGACCTTTATATGCAGCTGCCTTTCGGATATCTCCTCTTGGATGTTTCAGAGGCACCTCAACTTACAATTCATTAATTCACCTCAATCAGCAAATATTTATTAAGCACCTTCAGTGTGACACAAACCCTTTTAGTTGCTGGGAAACATGACAAAGTCCTTGCCCTAACAGAGCTTATGTTATACTGGATGAATAAAAACAATAAACAGCTAAACAAATAAATATATAATACAATGTCAGGTAGAAATAAGAGTAATGAGAGATAATAAAGCAGGGTAATGAGAGAGCGTGTGACTAGGCATGCTGTTTTAGATAGGGTTATGAGGGTAAACCATTCTGAGTAGTGACATTTATGTAGAACCTGAATAAAATGAAAGAGTGGGCCATGTGAAAATCTGGGGGCACAGCATGCAGGGCAAATGAACAAGAAGTGAAAAGGACATGAGATGGGAATGTGCTTGGCATGCTGGAGGAAGAGGAAAGAGGTTATTATGGCTGGAGCAGAGGGAATAAAAAGATGAGTGGTTGAAATTGTGGTCTGAAAGCTAGCCAGAGGACCGGCCCATAGCTCACTTGGGAGAGTGTGGTGCTGATAACACCAAGGCCACGGGTTCGGATCCCTATATAGGGATGGCCAGTTAGCTTACATGGGAGAGCATGGTGCTAACAATACCAAGTCGAGGGTTAAGATCCCCTTACCTGTCATCTTTAAAAAAAATAAATAAAGCTAGTCAGGTGTTATAATATAGAGGCTTGTGTACTATGCTGAAGACTAAGGATTCTATTCTAAATGTGCTGAGAAATATATGTTAGAACATCTTAGAACAGAGGAATGACATGATTAGATATATATTTAATTTTTAAATTTTTTCTTTTAAATTTTCTTTTATTTTTCTTAAACTTAAATAGTCCCATGATGCTGGAGGCTACCACATTGGACAGCATCATCCTAAGATATTCATATATGTTGTAGTGAGATGGAAAATAATCTAAATATCTGAGAAACCACTGTGTTTCACCTCCTCTGTCTGCCAAAACCATCACTCCAGGGGAGAAAACTCCAAGCTAGAGGAACTTGAAGCTTCCAAGAGCCCTTGGGTTCTGTGTTTCTATGTCCAATGTTTCTGTGGTCCTACGGTTCTAAGACATGTTGTTTCTCTATGTTCTAAAGACTCAGATATGTATTTTAGAAGTATCACTGTGGTTACCATGTAGAGAATAGACTAAGGGGGCAAAAGTTGAAGCAAGGAGTCCTTGTTAAACAATTGCAGTGGTCAAATGATGGTATTTTTACACCAAGGTGGTAGCAGGGGTCTGATTTTGAATATATTTGAAAGGTGGGTGTGTCAGGATTTTCTAACTAGGCTGGATATTAGGTAAGAGAGAAAAATAGAAGTCAAGGATGGGTATTAAATTCTTGGCTTGCAGAACAAGGTGAATTATGGTATAATTTGAGATAGGAGCACTGTAGGATAGAGCAAGTTAGGAGAATGATTAATTTTGTTTGGACATATTAAATTTGATCTGTCAGCTCACGCACATGTTGTTGCATGAAAGAACACAGGCAAAAACATGTATATACTATGTAATTCCACGTTATACGAAACCCAAGAACTGGCAAGACTATTCTGGATGATAGAAGTCAGAAAGTGGTAATTTTTGGAAATAGGTGCCAAATGGGAAAGAATACAAGGGAAATTTATGGGGTGCTGGAAATATTTTATATCTTGATCTGGTTAGTGGTTATATAGATGAACATATGTGCACGTAAGATTTGTGACCATTTCTGTATATATGGTACACTTCAATAAAATATTATAAAATTGAGAGACTTATTATTAGCCTTCAAGTGGGAATGTCATAAAGGCAGTTTGAGATGCAGGCATCTGGGGTTCAGAGCAGAGGCTGGGGCTGTAGATATATATTTGGAGTCAGCATATAGATATTTTGAAGCTATAGGATTAGATGAAATCATGTAGGAAGTAAAAATAAATAGAAAAGAGACATGTAAAAAGAATGTAAATGGGATAGTTCAACATTTAGAAATAGGGAAAGGTCGAAGTATTCATAAAGGAAACCAAGACTTAGTGGCTAGTGCAGTACTAGGAAAACCAGGAGAGAACGGTGCCCCAGAAGCCACAAGAGGAGAGTGTTTCAAGGAGGGAGTGATCCCAGCTATGACAAAAGTTATTAAGAGATTAAATAAAACGAAGATTTAAGACTGAGAATTGTTATGACCAAGAACTAACCAGGTCCTACTCCAGTATCCTCCATCTCAGTTAACAAATATAGTTTAGCATACCAGAAACCTGGGGGTCATCCTCGACACATCCCCTTTTGACATTTCTCTATCTAATTTATTACAAAATCTTGGTACCAGTTTTGTCTCCTACAGAGCTCTCAAACCCACCTATTTCTTTTTGCCTAGGGAGATGAAGATGGCAGGAGTGATTAGCCTCTAGGGTTGCCAGATTTCACAAATAAAGATGCAGAATGCCCAGTTAACTTCAATTCAGATAAGCAGCAAATAATTTTTAATATAAGTATGTCCCAAATATTGCACATGCTTGTATTATTACAGGGGATATACTTAATATTAAAAAATTATTTGATGTTTATCTGAAATTCAAATTTAACTGGGCATCCTGTATTTTATCTGGCAACCCTATTAGCCTCTGAGATAAGACTGAGGAATATGTAAGCAATACAGAGATCATGAAAAGAACTGCATATGCCAAATTAAGGAGCTTGAGTTTTAACTGGAGGGCATTAGAAAGCCTTTGAACGGGCCGACCCGGTGGCGCACTGGAGAGTGCACTGCTTGGGAGCACAGCGGCGCTCCCGCCGAGGGTTCGGATCCCATGTGGAGACCGGTTCCCGCTCACTGGCTGAGCGTGGTGCGGACGCAACACCGAGGGTTGCGATCCCGTTGCCGGTCCCTGGTACGGGCGCGACACCGAAGGTTGCGATCCCGTTACCGGTCAGTAAAAAAGACAAAAAGGAAAAAAAAAAAAAAAAAAGAAAGCCTTTGAAGAATTTTAAGCAAATGATATTAGATTTGCATTTTAGGTATACAAGGAGGACAGTGGACTGCAAAGAGAGGTGAATTCAAAAGCTATTGGAGACCCTGGAGCCTTTGGCCAGCAGGAGGAGGAGGCCGCAGTGGCTGGTGCAGGGATGTCAAGGAAGTCTAAGGTGGTGCTAGGTCTCTTGGTGCTACTGACGGTGGCTGTAATGGCAGGTGTGCACCTGAAGCAGCAGCAGGACCTGCAGAGTTTTCATGATGGACTGATCAGAGACACTGAGAGGCAAAATTAGAAAAAAGAAAACATTTGTCTTTTGGGAGAACAGATTATTTTGACTGAGCAACTTGGAGCAGATAGAAGAGATTAATACATGGAGATTAAACAACACACTTCTAAATAACACGTGGATCAAAGAAAAAATCTCGAGAAGTTTTAAAATATTTTGAAATAAATGAAAATGAAAATACAATGTATCAAAACCGGAGGGATGCATCAAAAGCAGTGTTTAGAGGGAAATTTATAGCATTGAGTGCATATATTAGAAAAGTAGAAAGATAAAACCAATAATCTAAGATTCCACCTTAGAAAACTAGAGAAAGAACAGCAAAAATTAAATCCAAAGTAAGGAGAAAAAAGGAGTAATAAAAATTAGAGCAAAAATCATTGAAATTGAAAGCAGGAAATCAATTAGAGAAAAATCAAGAAAACCAAAAGCTGTTCTTTTGAAAAGATGAATATGATTGATAAGTCTCTAGCCAGGCTAACTAAGAAAAAGAGAGAGATAATACAAATTACTAATATCAAAAATGACAGAACAGACATTACTACAAATGCCATGGTCATTAAAAGGATAAAAAGGAATATTATGATCAACTCTATGCCCACAAATTTGATACCTCGATGAAAAGGACCAATCCTTGAAAGGACACTCTGCCAAAACTCACACAAAAAGAAATAATGTAAGTTGAAACCTAGTAAAGAAGTTGAATCAATAATTAATAAGATTTCAAAACAGAAAGCACCAGGCTCAGATGGGCTTACTGGTGAATTCTACCAAACATTTGAGGAAGAAATTTTATCAGTTCTCTACAATCTCTTCTTGAAGATCAAAGCAAAAGGATTACTTTCTAACTCATTTTATGAGGTCAGCATTACCCTAGTACCAAAATCAGACTGGGCTGGCTAGTTAGCTCAGTTGGTGAGAGTGCAGCCTCATAACATCAGGTCATAGTTTCGATTCCTCATTACCAGCCAGCCAACAACAACAAAAAAAGTAATAAATTGGGCCGGCCCGGTGGCGCACTGGATAGTGCGCCGCTTGGGAAGCGCAGCAGCGCTCCCGCCCGAGGGTTCGGATCCCACATACAGACCGGTTCCCGCTCACTGGCTGAGCGAGGCGCGGGAGCAACACTGAGGGTTGCGATCCCGTTGCCGGTCCCCAGTCCGGTACGGGGGCGGCACTGAGGGTTGCGATCCGTTGCCGGACACGGAAAAAGACAAAAGACAAAAAAAAAAAAAAAAAAGTAATAAATTAAAAAAAAAATTAGACAAAGATATTATAAGAACACTACAGATCAATATTTATCATGAATATAAATGCAAAAATCCTCAACAAAATATTAGCAAACTGAATCCAATAATGTATAAGAAGAATTATACACCACAACCAAGTGGAATTTATCCCAGGCATGCAAGGCTGCTTTGACATTTGAACATCAATTTATGTGATTCATCACATCAATAAGCTAATGAAGAAAATCACATGATCATATCAGCAGATGCAAGAAAAGCATTTGAGAAAATCTGACACCCATTTATGATTAAAAAATAAAAATAAAAACCTCTCAGCAAACTAGGAAAAAAGGGAAACTTTTACAACCTGATAAGGAACATGTAAAAAAAACTCTATAGTGAATAATATCATACTTAATGGTGAGAAACTCAAAGCTTTCTCACTAAGATCAACAGCAAGTTAAAGATATCCCTTCACAATACTGCTTTTTAACATAGTACTGGAGGTCCTAGCTAATGCAGTAAGATGAGAAAAGGAAATAAAAGCTATACAGATTGGGAAGGAAGAAGTAAAACCATCTTCCTTTGCAAATGATGTGATTGTCTATGTAGAAAAACTGAAAGAATTAACAAAATCTGGAACTAGTAAGCAATTATAGCAATGTTGCAAGATACCAGGCTAATACACTAAATTCAATCACTTTTCTATGTATCAGCAAAAAACTAGTTGAATTTGAAATTAAAAGTACATTATGATTTATGTTAGCACCCCCAAAATGAAATACTTACATATAAATTGAACAAAATATGTATAAGATTTATATGAGGAAAACTACAAAACTCTAATGGAAGATATCAAATAAGAACTAAATAAATGGAGAAACATTCCATGTTCATGTATAGGAAGACTCAGCATTGTCAAGATATCAGTTCTTCCCAACTTGATCTATAGATTCAGTGTAATCCCAACCAAAATTCCAGCAAGTTATTTTGTGGATGTTGGCCAGCTGATTCTAAAATTTATGTGGAGAGGAAAAAGACGCAGAATAGTCAACACAGCATTGAAGGAGAAGAACAAAGTCAAAGGACTAACGCTGTCCAACTTTAAGACTTACTATAAAGCTAACGTAATCAAGACTGTGGGTTTGGTGAAAGAATGCACAACTAGATCAATGGAACAGAATAGAGAGCCCAGAAAAGACCCACATAAATATAGTCAACTGATCTTTAAGGAGCAAAGGCAATATAATGGAGGAAATTTGGTCTTTTCTACAAATAGTGCTGGAATAACTGGACATCCTTATGCAAAAACAAAACAAAACAAAACAAAAAAACAAAAAACCTAGACACACCTTGCACCCTTCGTAATGGATCATAGACCTAAATGTAAAATACATAACTACATGGAATTACTACTTGATAGCATAGGAGAAAATCTAGATGACCTTGGGTATAGTGATGACTTTTTAGATATAACACCAAAGGCATAATCCTTGAAAGAAATAATTTATAAGTTGAACTTCATTAAAATTTAAAACTTCTGCTCTGCGAAGGACCATGTCAAGAGAATGAGAGAAGACAAGCCACTATTGGGAGAAAATATTTGCAAAAGACACACTGATGAAGGACTGTCAGTCAGAATGTACAAAGAACTCTTAAAATTCAACAAAATAAGAAAAAATTTAAAATGGGCAAAAGACCTTAACAGACACATCACCAGAGAAGATAAACAGATGGCAATAAGTATATGAAAAGTTGTTCTACGTGGTATGTCATTAGGGAATTGCAAATTTAAAACAAAATGAGTTATTATTATATACCTATTAGAATGGCCAAAATCCAAAACACTGACATCACCAGGTGCTGGAAAGGATGTGTAGCAAGAGGAACTCTCTCATTCATTGCTGGTGGGAATGCAAAATGGTACAGCCACTTTGGAAAACAGTTTGGTATTTTTTCAGAAAATGAAACATACTCTTACATATGATCCAGCAATCACACTCCTTAGTGTTTACCCAGATGAATTGAAAGTGTATGCACACACAGAGACCTGCACGTGGGTGTTTATAGCAACTTTATTCATAATTGCCAAAACTTGGAAGCAACCAAAATGTCCTTCAGTAGCTGAATAGATAAATAAGCTGGTATATTTAGACAATAGAATGTCATTCAATGCTAAAAAGAAATGAGGTGTATCAAGACATGAAAAGACATGAAGAAAACAAATTCATATTACTAAGTGAAAGAAACCAATCTGAAAAGGCTGTATAATTACAGCTATACGACATTCTGGAAAAGTCAAAACTGTGGAGACAGTAAAAAGATTAGTGGTTACTAGGGACTAGGGGGAGGGAGGGATGAATTAGGTGGAGTACAGAGGATTTTTTAGGGCAGACAAACTATTCTGTATGATGCTACGTTGTGGATACATGTTGTTACACATTTGCCAAAACCCACAGAGGATACAACATCAAGATTGAGGGGTTATATGTGTTTGAGGACAGGGATTAGGGTTATTGTTAGGGTTAGGGGGTGTATGGGAACTCTGTACTTTCTGCTCAATTTTGCTCTGAACAAAATAAAGTTCATTCATTTAAAAAAACATAGTCAATTGCATTTAGAATCAAGAAGGAAACTGGTTACTTTAGCAAGAACAATTTTAGTGTGTTAATGAGAGGCAAGCCAGATTAGAATAGGGTAAGAGTTAAGGAAGGTGAGGGAGTAACCTTTACATATAGAGCTTGATTCTAACAGGAAGTAGAGAAAAAGAACATTAAATGGATGGAAAAGCAGGATGACAGGAAACTTTTTTAAAGCTGGGATATCCTAGATCATTTTTTAGGGCTAATTGGAATGATGGAAGGGAGGAAGAGGGCATAAACTGAACTTAATCCACTAGGCAACTAGAGCTCCCTGTGGCCTAGAGATCTAGTTGAACTTGGTCTGAATTTTGCTTCTTTAGCCTAAAGTAATAAAAACTCTTCTCCATGTTTTCTACATTCTCTTTTCCTTAATTCTTTACTTCCTCATCCTTTTTTCCCATGTACTGTCTGTTTCACTCTCCACTAATTCTCTCTCTCTCTCTCTCTCTATCTCTCTCTCTCTCTCTCACACACACACACACACACACACACACACACACATTTCTATACAAATCAAGCAGATTGTACTTTGTGTCTTGCACCTTACATTAAATACCATTTCTATGCTATGTTATATTATGTCCCTTCGAAAGCTGTGCTCATAGTATATGACTATTCCTGAATATGGTCTACCATCCCGGGAATTCTTATGTATAAAAACTTCCCTATCATTCTCCAAAGATATACAAATGGCCAATAAGCACATGAAATGATGTTTGACATCATTAGTCATTAGGGAAATGCAAATCAAAACAACAGTGACATACTACTTCACATCTACTAAAATGATTATGATAAAAAGAAAAGACAGATAATAACAAATGTTGGCAAGGATGTGCAGAAATTGAAATCCTCATACCTTCTGGTGGGAATATAAAATGTTACAGCCACTTTGGAAAGTAGTTTGGCAATTCTTCAAAATCTTAAATATGGATTTACCATAGGATCCAGCAATTCAACTGTAGGGTTTATATCCAAGAGAAAAACATACATCCTCACAAAAACTTGTACATGAATGCTCATAGCAGCATTATTTATAATAGCCAGAAAA